ATACTAAATGAATGGAAGAAGAGTGTAATCGTCCATATACACGAAAAATGGGATAAAAAGAAGTGCTGCAATTACAGAGGAATCTCCCTGACTAGTAATGCATACAAAATTTTAGCCAACATAGTCCTGGAGCGCCTAAAATCAATTACAGAAGAAAGTATTGTAGACTATCAGTGCGGCTTCCGAAGAAGCAGATCAACAGTTGACCAAAATTTTACCATAAGACAATTGCGGAAAAAATTCTGGGAGTTTAACCGCAACGTCCACCACGCTTCAGACAAGCATAGGACATCATAATGCGTGTTAAACTTTGAGATGCAATTGCAGAAGTAGGAATTCCTAAGAAACTTACTTAATATTACTAAAGTAATAAATATTACCAGGATGTGTGTAAACCGAAGTGTTTCCGAAGCAGAATACGAATCGGGACATACGTTCCAACATTTTTGAGGTAAATAGCGGCCTTAAGCAAGGAGACCCGATATCTGCAATTTTATTCAACATCGCTCTTGATGAAGTAATAAGGACCGCGGAAATAAACGTTGAACTTTTTAGTCGGGATGGCCCAAAATTATTACTGGCGCCGATGATATTGACGTGGTGGATAACACGATACTGTGAAAGACCTATTCTCGAGGGTACCATTGCGAAGAAAGGAAACATCAGAAATATACAAAGATCGAGATATTGTGAAAGGCAAGAATGCTGCAATGAGAGGGTCTTGTGCAAAGGTAGCCTGACATACGGATGATCAAATTGGCTTGGGAAGGAAACCAATAGGGCGAAGACCTTTGGGTCGCCCCGAATGAGGTGGCGTGACATCAAAGCGGACCTAAGGATCCAGCATCCCAGGTAGCCATGGAGGAAGTAAGTAAGTAATACTGAGACCTACGGCAAGCTTTAGGTATATATTTACAGGACGTCCCATGACGTAAGGGATATTCAGACCAAATAGGTTTCTTGAAAAAAGGTGAAAAAACACTTCTAATAGATTGATTGTTCAAAAGTGACCCGTTTTCATCCTGATAGAACTTCTCCAAAAGAAAGGCATTGATGAAAAATTCTGTTTTTTTTTTCATTCTAAATTTAGAGATACCTACAATTAATTTGTAAATGCAAGATCCTTTTATATTTCCCTTAATCTAATATACGCTGGCTAAATGAAATATTTTCTTTCGTCGTGGGTAGACCTACGTGATTAGCTTAATGAAAAAATTAAAACTTATTTATAATCCAGTGCGCTCCAGATAAAGTGCACGTTACTAAATGATGTCAATTTGAAGGCAATGAAGGGGACAACGAGTACATACATTGTATGTGCTCTCAGTAAGTAATCCAAATTAAAGGATACCTCGTATCGGTCGTGAAACAAATGTAATTTTGGGTGTGTATTAAGTTGAAAGGCACTTTGAATATTCTAGCTTGCATATTTTTAATCAGAAATAGGAAATTATGCAGCTGTATTTCAAGGATACTCATAGGTAATTAGACTAACATTAACAGTGAGGCAAGTCGTATAAATGATTTTAATGGATTATTTTGTTTGGAATTTCAATCATATTTTCCAATAGTCTAAACTTCGAATATAGTTAGGTACTGTCCCTTATGGTTTTGTTTTGTTTTTCCAAGTAAACGTACATATTTACCAACATTTGGTCATTTTATACAAGAGACTGCCGTGTCTTTCTCATAAAAGTTACATTATAGGTACTTATAATAGCGTTTTCTATAAAGTGAAGTAGTGAATACATTTTTCTGGTGGTCACCTAGAATTTTAGTTAGCGGGGTTTGACCATATATTATGGTTCCATACAAAAAAAATTACTTAGGAGCTTATATTATAATTTGACAAACCGGGTATTATCGCGGAAAACTCCCTCGATGAAGTTGTTTTACATAAATGCGTTATTTTATTTGAAAAGATAACGTTTCTTTTTAAGCAGATCCATGGCCATGCGTCTACTGCCATTCTAGTACAGTTGCTTAATTGAAAATAATTATTTTGTTTTTAGTGCTAGTTTGAGGGTTGTATAAATATGCCCCCGAAGGCTCGAAAAAAACATGATTTTGATCAACATGAGTCATCAATAAATTACACAAATCCAGGCGTCGATCCGGATCATCTATCTTCAAGTAGCTCTCGAATAGAGCGCATTTATTCTCATTTTCAAGTACTTTTGAAATAGTAAGTCAGTTAATGGGTTTGGAGTGAATGGATTTTCTTCTAGAGCAAGCAACATCTCTCGGGTTACTTGTCTAAAATATCTCTTGTTGTCTTGTCTCTATTTTACTAATGGAGTTTTGATATATTGGTGACAAGGCAAAATGCGTTTCTCGAAATAGACGAACAACTTGTCATTAAGTTCGCGCCCCATTCCATATCCAAGAATAAAAATTTCGATTATTAGCGATTTATTTAAATAAGTAATTTTTTGCATAAATTTTCTAAAAAACATTGACATCAAATCTGAAAACTTTCCAGTGAGGGGTCACTGAAAAGTCATCGAGTTGCTCTGCATGAAAACATGTTGAGGGTAGTTTCAGCTACTCCTGAAAGGATATATTTTCGTATTGCTTGCAAAATGTAGGTAAATATATTAATAATTTAGTAGTCTGTCCATGTATTTTCGATGTGGTAATGTCGCCAAATAATCCCCAAAACCTCTAGAAGATACAACAACGATTCGAAGCATTTTGAACCCTTGATTTAGGTACTTTTGAGCGATATGTATTTTTAGTGTCCATATAAAAAAGTCGTTTAGTTTTCTTTTATACAGAGTAGAAATGTAGAACCCCTAATTTTGTTTTGCTCAGAACTTTTTTGTATGCACTTAAACTTTTCTCGACATAATTTGTTTAATTACTACAAGTTAATTACCAACTTTTTTTTATCTCTTATTGTTTTCTCCTGAGACTACTGGTTTACCTGCAAAAAAATAAAATTCTTTGGTTTTCTTTTCTTTTCTTTTCTTTTAATTAAGTTAGTTTTTTGAAATCTGATAACGTTTTTATATAACAATTTTATTAATTAAATTAAATTGTGTATTTTGGTTCAGATTTCAATTATTAAGTTTGAAAAATTTTTACTTAAATAATAACATGGTAACAATATGTGCAACGATATAAACAAACAAAATTAAATTTAAGTAACCATTCTAATGTTAACTTAGCAGTTGTCCAAATTGGTCACCTTGACATTCTTGGCATAATCACATCTTTTAATGAAATCAAAATTTACAGACCGTAAAGTTTGCACTGAAGTTCTTATTTCGTTAAAACTATTAAATATTATTTCCTAAAGTTCTTCGATTGCATTCATTTCTGTTGAATATGCCAAATTTTTTAAATGGCCCCGAAGTAAAAATCAAGTGTGTTTAGATCGGGAGATCTAGGAGACGAGTTTATACGAGCTTCTTGACCTCTCCCAATCTAACGGCTTGGAAAGTTTTGATCAAGCCGAAACGATTAAACTTTTTAAACTAGTGCCCTTAAGAAAAACAATAAGAGATAAAAAAGTTGATAAATAACAAAGTAATTAAAAAAAAATATGTTGATAAAAGTTGAAGTGCACACAAACAAGCTGTGAACAAAACAAAAGTAAGTGTTCCACATTTCTACTCTGTATAAAAGGAAACTCAACCACGAAACACTATCATAAAGTGGCACTCCATTAGCTTATAATGTGTACCAAAACTGAATTTTCTGTTTAACCGTTTAAAAAAAAACACCAAAAACTAATATTTTTCGCAATTTTGGAGATCAAATATCTCAAAAATGAGACCTCAAATTCAAAACAATTCCCAGGAAGACCGCCCTCTAAAATGACTAGGAGAACACGCTGTTAAAATATTTTAACATATTCACCGAACACCCTGTATAATAGCAAAAAATCATAACATTGATAATTTCCGTTTTTTCACAAATAACTTAGAAACCAAAATCGTATTAAAAGGTAATATTATATTAAGTATCAAATCATCCTGCCTATATTGCACACAGTTTAAAGCATTATTTGTGCACCTATACTAGGTACTTAAACAGTAGAAATTGGTTTACTCGAACCTCCAATTGGCGCAAAAGCAATCAAATTTGATTGCCATTGATATTGTTTACTTAAACGTTATTTTTTTCAAAGTCGTCATTGATAACTCTTTAATAACAGAAGAGGTGCGCTAAAATAGAATAAAGCAAAAGAGCGTAAATAATTTAATTGCCTCAAGGTAATATTACCGACTACAAGTACCACCGTCAAGTATCCATTCCCAAAAACCTGTAACAAGCGACAAGTAACAAAACTGTCAAGTTAACAGAAAATAGCTTTCTTATTGCAGAATCATAAAAGGCTCACAGGAATCTCTTCTAGATTGAACTGTGAACACGTAGGTATTAATATTTGTTCAGTACAAATTCAATAGACATTAATGTAACATCACATCACAGATAATTCAAAAATGTTCATCCAAGGTAACTGTCGAAAAATACGAAACAGTAATTTGACAAATTCATTATCATCTCGCTGCTCATTATCATTATTGCGATGGTGACGTCATTTGAATAATTTTATTTATCATCGTTCGTTAAATTAAATCAATAAATCTGAAATCGTAATGTGACAACAGGAAAAGTGGATTATTGGGTAAAATAAGCGCGAAGTACCGTTGTAGAATTATTATTTACAAGCGCACGCTGCCTCGGAATGAATCATCGCTTTTTACAATAATTGCGTAATAAATGACCGACCAATCAACGTTTTTCAATTAAGAAATTAGCTAAAAATAAACTTTATCTCATGGGGTATTTCTGAAAAGGTTGCTACGATTACGATTTGTAATGTGGCTTGGTAAAACCGAGCAATAATTTTTTGAAACAAGCTGTAAGAAAACAAATGAAAGTTTCAGATCGGTCAAGGCAAGCAAGATACTCGAAGGAAACAATTTACTTCCTACAATTATTATTAAAATTTTTTGAAAATGTCCGTGTAGTGAAACGCACACACTCACCATTCGTCCTCCAGATTTTCCAAAAAAATTCTCCGAATACATGGTACCGTCAAAACAATCACTATCGTCCAGATCGAAGTTGAAATAGGGCACTAACTGAGACATCAAGTCGGTAAAAAGTTTTCACGTCAAAAATACAACTATCAAAAAGTCCGTGTATATAAAAAAACACACTTGGAAGCCTGTATCCTGTTTTGCGCGTGTAGTGAATGGAACAAATGTTTAACTAGTGGCAAGAGTTTGCGAACAACACGCTTTAAACCACTGGTTAAGACAATCAAGGTTAGTTACGCTCAATTTGTTTCGTCTTCGTCTCGTTCAAAAGGTGGAGTATGGTTCTCCCGCTCATGACTGTGGGGAATGTGGGGATTCCGACGACACAAATGCGCGCATATTACGGAAAGCGGCACCGAGAAATGCGCTGGCAAACGAGTGAAATTTATTCCAAAAATTTTTTCGTTTACTGTTCGCAGCGAGCTGAATTCGCAATTGTGGAGTTTTCGCTACTATTCGGTATTGGAGAGCTTAGTTCCATGGAACACGAAACGTAGTAACAAGATTTGCAGCACGTTTAGCATTATAGGTGATCGTGTCGTTTGCGTCTCTCCGAATTAGTGTGTTTTTTTACCTTAAAAAACAATTCAAGTTAAGCAGTTTCAGCGAAAAAAAATCCTGAATGGTCCATAAATTAAGCCAAAAAATACTTACAAACTTTTGAAATTTGCTTTTTCAAAATCACTTATTTATGCACGAAAATGTCCGGTGCTATTTGCTGCTAAATCGCGTTTTAGGTATCAAAAATTCATAACTCCACATGTAAAATTGCCGCTAAGATGCATAATAATTGCGTTTTTTGCAAAACTTTGATCATCTTCTCTAACAAGTTGTTCGAAAGGATGTCAGAATATTGGGATAATAGTTTGAGCGCGATTTCCAGCTGTGGAACATTGTTTAAATAATCTAAAAAACTGCAAAAAGCCGTTTTTTGCGCATAACTTTTGGACCGTTCATGCTATTCAAAAAAGTTTAATATTTTTTCAAGTATTAAAAATACCTACAATATGAGACAAACGCCGATTTTAGCGTCTTTTTAATTTTCTATAATTAATTTAGTTTCGCTCCAAAATAATCTCACTATATCTTTTTTTGAAGCTCTTTGTACACTTTATAAGTGGCACAAATTTGAGCTTAAAATATTCATAACTTTTTTTCCCAGTTTCCAGCCAGTCAGTTTCTAAATAAGTTTTTTTTTAAACGTCGAAGCCACTTATCTGAGGGTGTATTTTACTCGTAAAGAGTTATACTGCAACTTACAATAAAGAAAAAGTTGATTAATGAAGGGTAAATTGTTTAAACAGAAGTTTCAAATTAATCAATAAATTTATAGTCAGATGGCGGTTTATTTGATTCTTTCGGGGATTCAACACAATGCGGTGATGCCACATATTTTTTCGTGACTTAAAAATGTTGAGTTAGTTTGTGTGTGTTAGCATAGATGAAATGATTTTTTAATGAAACTGAAAAAATATACAAAAAGTAAAAGTTAATAACCTCAAAAGACCTAAATAATCTAAACCGACTCAAATTGAATGAATCAACAATTTTCATGATCTTAAAACGTTTTGCGCTGTTTATCGACTCGACTGGAAATTTAGCCTGAAAATGGTAATTTTTCTTGAACTTTGTGAGTGTTTTTTGGCTAAATTTATGGAGCATCCAGAATTTTTTTTTTGCTGAAACTAAACTTGAAGTATTCTTGAAGATAAAAAAACAAAAAACTAAAAATGGGGATGAATTCAAACTACCCGATGACCAATTACGAAATCGATAACAATTAAGACGGGAATGCGGCAGGGAGATCGTATTTCTCCTAAACAGTTCACATTGGCAGTGGAAGACGTCTCCAGAACAATGGATTCAATGGATGGCAAACATGGAGATGGATAAATAGAAAGAAAATTAACCTGAATTAGAAACTATGTTAACTGAACTAGCAAGAAAATCGGGAAAAAGTAAAGTTCTAAAAATGAACCACTTCCAAACAAAAATAATAAAAAAGAATCGCACACACAAGAAACTAGAATCGTAATACTGAACGGAACGTTCATAAAGCGGTCAACGATTATGTATATACATTTGGGACAAACGACGGGAAAAACAAGAAAAACCAGCGGAGGTAAAAAGAGGGGTGAGAATTAGCCTAAACAGGATTTGGACAAAACATAAGAAAATACAACAGTACCTAAAAATTAGTGTCTTTGAGCAGCGCATCGAGCTATGGCTCGATCAAGGCTGAGAATTAAATTACAAAATAAAAACAAAATAACTGGAGAAGAAACAAATCAAGTCAAATTTGCAGGCCTGTAGCCAGGTTAAAATGGGACTTCGCAGGCCAGACCAAAAAATCATTAGGTGAAATACCACGATACAACGATGGAGACCATGGGGGACGACATAAATAGGACAGGAGGGTAACATTGGTAACGAGTGACGCAAAATATAAACAAAAACAGAAAAAATATGGGACGCGTAGGTCCAAGGATGGACGAATTAGAGGGCGAAAGAAGAAGAAGAAGAGCTGATCTGCAAACGATACTAACGTATTCGTATTTCAGCTTTTATAATACACAATGATACTTAATGCATTGGAGAATGTTTAAATCTGTATTCTTTCGCGAGTTCATCTACCGATGGGTGCGCTGCAAAAATCACGAATACATTGGTAATACCTACCTGACATCCCATATTTTAACCTTTGCTTTAAGTCTATAACATAATACTTACACACTTTTCAATATGTTTCAATTTGTTTTGTTTAAAGGCTTGCAAAATCTGTGCAGAATTAATTACACAAAATAAGTCACAATGACATCTAATCAAAATAAGTGTCAAATTTATAATTATTAYAGTTATAATTAACAGTYATAATTTAGCCGCCAGTGGGCGTTTCAACTTTAAWACTCAACTTTTTTTTTCAACCTGTCAATCCCRTCAGGAGTTTGAAAAAATATCAATAATTAATTCCAATGTWWGAGAAAAAATTACCGATTTGCCCYACTATCTARGGGTACTTTCTTTATTGGTATTGCGATTAATAATTATATTGGGTTAARTTTCACTTTTGACAWGCTTGGTACCGAGCCMSTACCTACACTAAAATCRGTTTAGGTGATTATAACGTCGTATTGTTCTGAGATTCGAACATGTGACRTTTTCGCTCATTATGGACGTCAAAGTGGTACGTAATTCTTAGTCACATTTTTCAAGTTAAAAAAAATCAATCAAAATTTGGAAAATTTAATAAATAGAAAGAATTTGAAGAAGTACGTTTGCTACACAGCGAAAGTTTATACAAATAAATACTTTCAATTAATTCCAACAAGCATTCAAACATGCAAATAATAAATAATTGCATAAATGTTTTAGTATATCGTTAAAAAATGTGTAAATAAGTGTATGCTTTGCGATGCATATTAGTTTTTAACTTAGTTTTTACAGTCGTTTTTAAACATCCAGCAAAGTTTGCTCTATCTCGATTGCATCGGCATTTCTTCTTGGACGCATTGCCGATGCATTATTACAATAGCGATTAGTTTATAATGGAATTGGTGTTTTGTTATGTGCCGCTGTCAGAATTGTATAAAATGATTCGGGTTTAATCTTGATAATTTAAAGAACCGATAGCACAAGTTAAATTAATGTCCCTGCATGATTGCATTGGACTTAATGTTCTTGTCTTTTGATTTTTTTTATATTCTTTCTTGTTTTTGAGATATATAGTGAAAAAACGCTCCATTTACTTAAATTTAATTTAGTCATAAAAATTCACAACTTGGACTTGTGTAAACTAAGGTTTGTGTTGAAAATTTAACGTTGAAGGGCTGTATTCGCGGTTCAAAATTGTTGAAAAAAGAACGGAAAAAATGTTATTTTAACGTCCTCTATCTTCAAAACTCTGCGATTTACGGAAAATTTCTAAATGAAAGGGGATCATTATTTGAACCTGACTTTTTTCCTGAATTTATGAAAATTGAACCTGAATCACTCTGGGTGTACCAGATGTTTTTTAATAAGTGTTTATAGACCGTGTTCGGAAAATGTGTTTGGAATTTCTTCGCGGATCAAATTGAAAATCCGTACCGAGTTTTATCATAGTTTCTCTAACTTTGTGATGAAAACTTGTTTTTCCACTTTGCCACTAGATAGCACTTTACCTATAATCCAAACTTCGTTTCCCGCATTTCTTTTTTGAAACGCCAAAGACGCGAGAAGGAATGCGCTATTTTAAACATTAGAAAATACTAGGTTGGTCATGACCAACGCTAATTTTTCTAATTTCATACACAACAAAAGTCTGAATTTCTACTACGTGACCCCCCCCCTGACTCAAAAGCTGGATCCCCTCCTGAGTTGTCTGGTCTTAAAATGTGCCAAATTTGGCAATTTCTATTATTGAATTCAATTCTGTTCAATTTAGGCACAATTTTTGTGCTCCAAAACTACTAAAATATTAAATGTATCAAGAATATTCCAATGTTGCATTCACATGCAGCACATAAAGTTRGTCTAAATTGAACAGTAATACAATAATTAGTATACATTTTTAAATTTGGCACATTTTAAAAATAGAAAACTTGATTTGCTGCGATTGTAATTAAGAGATGCAGGGTATCAAAAAAAGTATCGTTAATTTTTGGTTTTTCTAAGTAATTAATAATATAATATTTATATTTGGACAAAACTTGGTATATCGAGCTTTCGCAAAATGAAAAACGTAAATTTGATCTTCGTTTTGCCCTGTAGAGGACTCTACCTACAAGTCTTTCTCTCTTTAGAAAAGTTATAAATTTTCATTTAGGGTTGTATCACATATTTTAGCAAGAACATCAATTGCGTGAAGGTTTTTACGTTAAATATTTTAAAAACCATTTTCAAGATAATTAGTCGACGCATGTGTTTTTCAAAAGTAAATTTTGAAAAAGAACCATAATAACCAGAAAAGGCTTGTAAATTTATTCCGCAGTGTTTGTCATTATTATTGTATAAAAAGGGTCTATTATTTCAGATCAACATATCTCAAAAACAGTTATTCGTAGTGACTTGATGAGAATACCTTTTTACGTAAAAATTAATGAAAATTTTGTGCTAAAAAATACTTAAAAAAACAAAAGTTTGAATTAATGTAAACACCCTATAGCTCGATAAGTAAGACCTTGCAGTTCCATGTCTATATGGATTTTTCATCTTAAAAATTCCTGAGGAATCGCTCTGTAAAGTATGTTCAATAATAATCTTGAAAGACACAAGAAGATTTTGAATGTTTACCGTCTACGTCGTTTATTGACTTGATATAACTGTGACATAATGCCAATATAATCGCGTCGTTACGACGTGACAAAATTTGTGACATTGACGTACATTATCATTTTTTTTATCATTATCAATTTCGAGATTTAACAATTTGGAGCTTTTGCTAACGTTTTGCACCAAGCTGGGGCATGTGTCTTATGTAAAAGTTTCGGTACGTTTAATTTTTTTGTTTCAAAGTCTATCAACCAGCAGGTATATTGTTTCGAATGTTTCTGCCTTCAAACTTT